CCCCCCAAAAAGGATGCTCTTAGGCCCTCGATCACAGTTATCTAACGATATATGCTGGCCAGGCTTTTTACCCCCACCAGTCCTTGCTGCTCAGCTTGTCGGAAGGTCGCTGCGTACTCACATAGTGCTGGCTGGGGAAAAACCTTTTCTCGTAGCCCAGCAGCTGGATGTGCCGGATGAAGGCATCCCCCATAGCTGCTCCCAGCCGCGGCGTCCCGCTCCGGCCCCTGCTCCTGCCTCCCCGGGCGTCTCGGCGTCCTCTCCTCCCCTCTGCCTTCGCACAGCTCCGCTTCGCCGTTAAAGCCCCCGGGAAAGCGGAAGTCCCGCTGCAATCGCGCCTGTAATTGTTTACCCACTGTGGTTTGTATTGAGTTGGTGTTTCCCGTAGGGATCCTCCAGCCTGGCCCCTCCAGCAGCTCTGGGGCTGGGAGGAGGCGGGCAGGAGGGAAACCTCGGGGATGCCCTGGGAGCACACCTGAAATCAGAGGACAGTGAAGGGCCAGGGCCCGGTCGGCTGCCCCGAGAGCCAAGCGGCCCCTCCGACCGCTGACGCTGCCCCGTGATGGCACGGGGTGTCAAGGACAGACAAGTGCCTTGGCAGTGGCAACCAGAGGAGTCTTCACGTTCTCGAGCAGAGCTGGATGGGCTGAATGACGCATGTAACGCGCTCCCCGAGCCCAGGGACGGCAGCACCATCCTCTGTACTGGGAGGTACCGTCCTGCGCTCCCAGGGCGGGCGGGGAAGCTGGGGGCACGGCGCAGGCAGGTGGGGCAACCACAGGCTGCGTGTACAAAAGCTCCTGCCCTTGCATCACTGTTTCCTTTCAGTCACCTGCAGCTTCCCCAAAATCTGCCCCCAAAAGGCTCCCTTGAGCAGCCCCTGAGGACCCGAACCAGCCCCAGCGCCACAGCTCCGCTCACTGTCTTACCTGGTCACAGGGCTGTGCGGGAGCACCGGCCACAGGGGACCCCAGGCATGAGGAAACCCCACGGTGGGCTAGAGATGGACCCCTGCCTCCCACTTGGAGAGCGTGAGGGTCCCCAGCAAAGCCCCTCCGAAATGGCAGCACATCAGCATCCTCCTCCTCCGCCCCGGTCAGAGAAAGACCAGACCCACGCTCAGCCGGGAGCGGAGACATCTTGGTCAGTGGGGCAACACCCGCGTCCCCGTTCCTGGCAGCAGCACCCCCAAACCGCCAGCGGAGCTAACACGGGCTCTCCCCACCGACCGTCAGCCGCAAACGGTGGCGCAGGACAGCCCCTCCCTGGGCTAATACCCTCATTAGCTCTAAAGACAAAAGCTTGCCCTGACTGCGTTAAAAAAAATAATCAAATACTAACCATAGCTTTCCCCTCAAGGATGAATGAATCTCAAGGATGGTGCTTTGCAGCTGTTGAGATCAGAAATGATCATTTAAATTTGGTTTCTTATCATTTTAACACGGGGACTTCCCTGTACGCAAGGCAAAACCGTGCAACCGGTAATATTAAAAAAGAAACCTCCAGGGCTGTTTGGATTCTGCTTGGTTAGCAGCCAGATCACTGCTTCTTATGCAGAACCACCACAAACTTTGTCATGAAAGCTGATTTCATAATTACAATTGTTTGTACCACATTTAAAACTGCGTGACAGACAGCGCATTACTGGAAACCGCTTAATTCACATGTTTCTTCCCGTTTCCTCATTCCTCATCTTGTGATGTGAGAAACGAAACGGAGCTTGTAGATCTCACTGCTGGCGATGGGTTAGCTCACAGTGAGATGCGACACGTAACTCCGTACGATACACTGCTTACTACTTCCACCAACGGTCCCATAGCTACTGGGTGTCAAGAAGGATAATTTTAGAATAAAATTCTGGGAGGAGTAATGACTTATCTGATAAACAAGCTGAGTTTAAGGAGCTCATGAGCCGATTCGTGTTTTGTGCAACAAGGCTGGCATCTGAATGCAGGACCGGATTTTTGAGAGAGATGGAGAACTTCCACTGGCCTCAAGCTGGAGAGTTGGCAGCAGTGCTTTACAGCAATATACAACTGCTTTGGAGTGAGAACAGCAGATACGGGACTGAGGCTGATGGATTTTAATCAAGGTTATTGAAGATGAAGCACTGGAGGTTTAGAGTTTCTTAGGCAAGTGGACTATCCTCTTTTCTGCTCCACCCCTAATAAGTACCAAAACCTCCTAGAAATTAAAAGCTGAAGAAAGGAATGCCACCCTAATTTTGTTCAAACTGTAATTTTGATTTTTCGCAGTTTAAGCTTAATTCAATCCAGAGCCAAGGGAGGCGTTTATGTCGCTGATGGCAAACTGCTGTGTGTGAACAGTACTACGTGCTCCAACAGCTGTTGCAAAATCACGAAAATGAAAGTTTGCCCTCTTCCTTAGCAGCCTCTCGCTGATAGGACAGATACAAAAAGAAATGAAGGAGAACGGGCTCAAGTTCTGTATGCATTAAACTTCAAATCCCAGGGGAAAAAACTCTGGCCAGCAGCTGCATGATGGAGGTGCTGGACCTCATCTGGCACGTAGTGGTTACCGGTGTGAGAAAAGCCGGGGTGCCGTACCTGAGGAACAGCAGGCTCCACCATGGGCACCCTGGATCCTACGCTACCTGGATCGAAAATTCCTATTTAAGAGAAAGGAACTGGCCCAAGGTGCAGCACAGGCTTTTAAAGTTCAGTAACACAGAGAACAGACACTGGTCTGCTGCTTCATCTCCACAAAGCTTCTTTCCTGTAACAAGAAAGAGTCAGAGCACTGGTAAGTTGTTGCAATTTTATTTATTTACTTGTTTATTAGTACAGCCAAGGCTTTTTAGGGCATTATCACTCAATAGCCAAAGAGTGACACACCTCATGTATTACTAGTCTGGAAATGAGTGAGATTTTCATACACGGTCAACATCTTAGAAGTCTGCTACCTGTTAGAACTATATATAGAGATAGATAATTTTTAATATAAAATTGATATTTGGAAAGTATAAATATTGGTGCAATTATTTTGTCAGTCTAACGTCTCTCTACGGGATATAATTCAAAATGTCTGAAACCAGAAAGAGACTTCAGTGCTGAACACTGACGCACCCACAGGCATTACTGCAAGCTCAGCAGCGGGACAGACACAACGCACGCCATCACCCTAACTCCCAGCGTCACATAAGGACTCCCAGTCTTTCCAGCAAAACCACTGCATCAGTTCTCGCTTTCTTTTTTTTCCAGCTCCTGCACGCAAAGCTGCAGGATGTCCACACTGCGCTGCTATATACTTGACAAGGCAGTAGCCTGGAATTACTTGTTTTCACAGTTCTTTTGCTATGATGCCTCGTCCTCATTTTGAGCGAGCACTGACGACTCCATCAGCAATATACAGCCTTGCTGGGCCGGCAGCTGTGCAAAAAGTGCCTCCTAAAGATAGCTGAGCGTGGATGGACCATGCCTCCGCTTTTTCAAAAGGGGAAGCTGAGAGCCAGCTGAAAGCCCGGGGAAAGCTGCATTAACTCATTTCCCTATTCCAAACCTTTCTAGCAGCAATCGTGAAACTGGCCGTCACCCCGATAACAACCAATTTATAGAGGCTCGGTAACTGAGCACATCTATTAATCAGCGGTGAAATACGTCAGTGGTTATAATCTGGGACAGTAGCCAACCGGCTGAGAATTCACAGGTAAGTAAAGTCAACGGGCTCCGTCCCATGGGACTGAGATAGCGGCTGTTTGCCGAGGCAGGAAGGCAGCACTGCGTCGGCTACATTGCGTCGGTTACCATCTGGAGAGCTGGAAGGTAGAACCGGGACGAGCGTTTTCAAAATGACTCGGCGTGGAGCTAACCCTGCTCCTACTGACACCAACAGCACAAGGTCCCAATATCTAAGTGAGAGCACTCAGACCTGCACGGAGTAATTGTGAAAATGCAAGCACGCGTCCCACAGCTCTCCCTTGCCTCTAGAATGACAGAGCATGCGCTGCTCTGAATTCATCTGCTGAATTTCAAGTTGCTCCCAAGGAACAGACACCGTATCCAATTGAACTCAAGGGTTCAAAATTTTCCTTGAAGATACGACAACTTCGCCCAGCTGGAGCTGGATTTCTGTCTGAACAGCATGACTGGAACTTCCTTCCTTCGCTGGAATTAATAGCTCTGCATGTTCTACCTGCCTACAGAATTACTGCTAGAACTTGGTTTGTTGTGAAATATGTAAACGTATACTGCATGGACAGCCACGAGAACCATCAGAAAGGTCTTTATTTCTTAATCAGGGAATAAGGTTTACCATTTGTGCATAATGCAGTCATCCCAAACTCATGCCGATAAAAGAGAAACCTTTACAATAATCAGTATCTTCTCTACAGAGATTATGATATAGCCAGAACTTTACATCTCTTACGGTTTGTGAAACTTAAAAAAAAAAAAAGCGTACATGAGTCTCTTACATGATGTGGGGTGTAACCAGGAGTATAGGGGACTTAACTTTTGACATAGTAGGACTTACAGCAGCTTACGTTTCCGTAACTAGTTCTAGATAAACGGAAGGGCATTCCCCCACAGCCTTCAGGAGAAAAGCTCTCACACAGGTCCATGCGAGTTTTGCCTACGTTAGGACTGCAAGACCAGACCCGTCATATATAAACCATCTGATATTCTGAGAAGACATGCACTTACTACTTTGAATTAATGGAACAAACTATAACAGGGTTTAATTTAAATTGATTCCTAATTCACACACTGAAATACTGGCCATTTCACAGTCCATCTCATTAATGTGTACTAACGGTCAAGTGAACCAGTTTATCTTTTATTTATGAAAAACTTATGAATTGTGATAGATATCATAGGAAAAATTAGTTCAAATATACAGATACTATTGTCCAATCAGCCATTAAAGGAGTAAGAACCAAAAATTAATGATTTTTTTTTTTCCCCAAAGTAAAACTAACAAATTGAACTACTTGCAGGAATTTTTCATTTAGAAAAGCTGAGATGCATTCAGGTACAGTGAAATTCAGTTTTATTGGGAAATGGAGACAGCCTCTTGTTAAGTCCCTGTTGTTTTTAATCCCTGTCATCTCCCCAGCACTGCTGCATCAAATTTACTCCTTATAATATATCCCAAAGGAAAACCAGCCATTCCAAATCTACAGTCATTCTTTGCTTTAAGTCAATTCACAGAACTGCTGAAAAAGTAGACATTTCTATCTAAAAGTACAAAAAGGGTTTGTATAGAAGGTACTTCTCTTATACAGTTATATTACACAGCTCAAGACAGTCCCGGCAGGCTCTTCTCAGAACTGGGTGCTTCTGACTAGATAAGAAAAATTACAAAAGTGAGTTAGTTTCATTGCAGCTCTGTATCTGCTTACAAATACGAGTAGTTTGCGTTGCCTTTTTGAGTCCTTTAGGTCTACATTCAGAAAGCATTGCTCTCAATAAATATAAGATTACATGTGTGCTTCAGTGCTCTCTGTAAGAGTGTCGATCAAATATTTGCTTTAGTATAAATCCAGTGGATGGCCTAAAGCATCCAAAAATCCGAACCACTGCAGCACCAAATTGTGCAGCTACTGCTCAGAGAAAATTTCTGTGATCTTTAATGGACAAGTGAAATGGCTTTTTATACCCCCACTGGGTGAAGTGCTTCCCACGACAAAGTGAAAGTTTTTCTTTAATCTATTTTCTCCTGCCACGTTCAGTTTTATGACAAATATTTCCTAAGCAGACTTCACCAATTTGTTAGGAAGACTACTGCTGGACTTCTAATTCTCAGGACACGGCAGCTGGCATGTTGGCACGTCCGCCAGCTGCTGCCAAATCATTTCTGGATTTGTCCCTTCAGTCAGTCCCTCACCCCGATGCCGTCAGCAGCCCTCCCGTGCCAGGCTGTGTTTATGCCGCACGGACGGAGGGCCATGGCCAAGGCTGTCCTCGTCTCCAAAAAGCCGGATGGTGCCAGGAGTGAAACCCGCAGGCTCCCGGCTCCCCCAGCCACTGCTTCGTGGCGGGGG